ATTGAACAGATGCTAAAATTTAAACTATGTGGTATACCTATGATTTTAAGGAATTTTCAGACCATTCCTCTTGTCTTTTTTTTTGCATTTATCTTCAGATAGAGTGGGAGGAGAGAGAGAGAGAATTTTTTTTTTCCAACGTGAGAGAGACACATCGACTTGTTGCCACTCACATGACCCCAGCCAGGACTCTCTGGTCCGCAGTCTGACGTTCTAACCACTGAGCCAAGCCGGCCAGGGCATCCTCTTCAGTGTTACTATTTCTTACCATTATGTATGTGCACCAACTCTTGTGCTGATTCTTTTGATATTTACCTACATTTTCTGTGTTCCTTTTTAAAAGTTTAGTTTCATGTCATCTTTTGAGTAATATGGAAGATATAACTATTTTACTGCCCCATATGTTCTACATAACTAAGTCCAACACAGCTCTGTCAGTTGTTAAAATAGCAACTTAGTATGTTCAGTTACATTAAACGCTCTCTTGCCTTCATCTGGAAGACATCTCAATTGAAGTTTTCGGCCTGCTCCAGTATGGACTGGTTATCATCCACACCTGGTGCACAGTAGATGTCCTGGGAGTTTTGAGAGTTCTCTTCTGTGTTATATCCTTATTGTCATATGCACGCATCCCCATTCATGGTTTATTTTCTTGTTTTGTTAGAGCACATTTCAAGTATCAACCTGAGAAAGGCACAGAGGGTAATTTTTTGGAGACATTGCATTTCGAAAAATGTGTTTTTTCTAACTTCATTCACACTTTACTAACAGTTGTTGGGCAAGATATACAGTGCTAAGTTATGGACAGTGTCTCTTAGGAATTTCGAAGTCAGTGTTCCATTATAATCTAGATTTTGGTGTTACTCTTGAGAAGGTCAAGCTCATTCTGATTCCTTATCCCTTCATTGGGGTGACTTGTTTTTTATTTTCTGAAAGTCTTTTTTTGGGTGGGGTCTACTGTTTTCTGTGTTCTGATGTTTGCTACATCTACTCAGTTTGTTTAGCTGTTAGAATCTCATTCTGCTAAAACCTCATCAGAAAACTTTCCTGTATCTTTCCAAGTGAAAATAATCTTTCCCTTTTCTGAACCGACATAGCATTTTTATGCCTATTTTTCTTATTACTTGGTCTACCTTTTTAAAACTCTTTGTTTATGTCTTATCTGATGATTGCTGTTTTACCTCAGTCAGTCCTTTGCATATAATGAATACTCAGTTTTTTGATTGACATGAATTTTCAGGTCTCTTTTCTGGTCTTACATTTACACATATATTTTCACTTAAAAATTTGTCAGAATATAGACCATTGCTGTATGCCATGGTAATGTAAGGGTAGGGCACTGTTTCTAATTGCAGGTACTTTTTTTGAAATTTGTTTGGGCAATGCAGAGCCTTTGTATTAACCCGGTCACAATTCATGAAAGCTCATTATCTTGCTGCATAATGCGAGGATTCTCTGTATGGAGTATGAGAGATTTCTTGAAGGTGGGCTAGGAGTTATATTTCATTAGGGGTTTTCCTGTACTGTTTTCTTTTGTTGTGACCCACAATAGAGTGGGCATCAGCATTCCTTCCAACTTGTAGCTTATCAAATCACCTATGCTTTCCTTCTCAGCAGGTCTTAAAAATCTTCCCTCCACCCTTTCATAGCTCCTGTTCTTTATTTGAGTGAGCACAGTGTTGTTCTTGGGTGGTTTTGTCTTCAGATTTCCTCTCCAGGCTACCTCCTATCTTTGGAGAACCTTGCCTGGCAGGGAGATTTGCTTCTTGGTAGACTTCTGGCCAGCCACTTGATAAACTTTTTTCCTTGTTTTTTGCTTATGTGTGACGGATTTTTGCTCATCACAATGTAAAATTATTGTTAATGTTCAAATCTTAGGTTATTTTAAATGTGTACATCCTAAGTGAGAAACATTCTTTTTTTATTGAGTGTTGTGTCATGCTTACTTTTTAACCCAATGACAAATATACTGATTGTAGAATTAGTATTTTTGATATTTTTAAAAGTGATTTTACATTTTTTTTGTTCAGTAACACTTCCTAAGTTTCTATAGCCAAGATAGCAATGACTATGCTATTATTATTTCAAACTTTTTAGTATAAACCACAAAGTGGAATCAACAAGTATGCTGTAATTTGTATAGAAAACAGTTTTCACTGATGGGCACTTGACTGGTTCTTTGAAAATATAGCAAGTCCTCTGTCTATCAGAGAAAATTGTGTTAATGAAAGTTGCCAATTAAAATCTGAGAGACTTTTGTTCCAAGTCTTATGGGAGGAGGTCATTTTTCTGTGGCCTGTTCAGCTCTGACTTTTCTGTCTGTGATATGTTCAGTTGGGATTACTGATGATTTCCCTCTTGGTTCCTTCTCTCCAAATAGTCATTTTTTTCCATTCAGCACGTATTATGGAGTGACATTTAATAAATGCCACCCTGATAATATGCTTTGACATGGTGTTGTCGTGGCACTTGGCATAGCTGTTCAGTGATTTCAGGTCCCTTCAACAACTGAATCCCCATATTAGACAATCCTTGACCAGGTAGTTGAAGAATTATAAGCCAAGTTTATAGAGTATTTCAAGGAGGAGGGAGTAGTCAGTTGTATCCAATTCTGGAATAGATCAGGAAGATGAGTCTTGTGTACGGACCATTTCCTTAAGCAACGTGGAAGCTGTTGGTGTTCTTGATGCACATTTGTGAGTGAAGTGGATGCCAACGTATGTGTGTGCATGTGTGGCATGTGGTGTGCTGTGTGTGTGTGTGTTTTATAAACTTACTCTCTGGGTTTTGGATGGACACTTGAAGCTCCTTTTTTTTTTATCCTCACCCGAGGACATTTTTTCCATTTTCTGTTCAGGTAGAGTGGGAGGGAGAGAGGAAGAGAGAGAGAGAGAAATACATCGACGTGAAAGGGACACATCGAGTGGCTGCCACCCGCACGACCAACTAGGGCCGGGGACAAACTGCAACCGAGGTACAAGCCCTTAGCGGGAACCGAACCCGGGTCTCTCTGGACCACAGGCCGACGCTCTAACCGCTGAGCCAAACCGGCCAGGGCACTGAAGCTCCTTTTAAAGAAGTCCAGATAAATCAGGGAGCAGCATAACTATAGGTTATTTGCATGGTGGTTTTTATGTTTAGTAACTTTTAGAATTATGGTCTGTGCTAGTTAAAAAATGACAAAGATTGGGAATTATACTTTTTTTTTGAAGTGTTCCATTTTAATAACTCTTAGGCATGGTTTTGTTAGAGATTCTCTTGGAGGGCTTCTTAAGGCTATGAATTTTCTGGCCTCAACACTGGAAGGTCAGTCTGAGTGAGTAGATATGGAGCGGGGTCCAGGAATGTGTATGACTATGATTAATCTTTTTTCTCCTCCCTCCCAGCCTTTCCTTTAAGAAAGAACTGTACTTAACATCACTTTAAATTGGAAAAAGCAACTGTTAACTTGAATTGAACTCTTTATATAAATTCAGTGTTTTTGATAATATAATAGCTAAAGGCAAAAGATAACAATTTAGTGTATTTTTGAGTATACAAATGAGAATGATTGTGGAAGTTTTAAAAGAAACAGCTGTGCCCTGGCCAGGTGGCTCAGTTGATTGCAGTGTCATCCCATACACCAAAAAAGTTATGGGTTTGATTCCTGGTCAGGACACATACCTAGGTTGTGGGTTCGATCCCTGGATGGAGTGCGTAGGGAGACAACCAATTGATGTTTCTCTTTCACATTGATGTCTACTCCACCATTACCTCTCTCTTTAACCAATAAACATATCCTTGGGTGAGGATTACAAAAACCAAAAAACCCCAAAGAACTATGTTTTTTCCTCAAATAATTTAAAAACACGTTTTTTGTTATAGTGTGTTTATATATGTATGTATGCATGTGAGAGTGTGATGGAGAGGAAACCTGATTGGCATGGAATTATGAGAGAAGAATCTGTGATAAGAAATCTTTATTTATTTAAAAAGAATTTTTTTTTCTTTATTGATTTTAGACAGGAAGGGAGAGGGAGAGAGAAATAGAAACATACATATATATACACACACACACACACACACACACACATATATATATACACACCCTGTGTAGAAGTGTATAAAATTAAAAATGAAGTCCTTTACTTTTAACCCCACTTTTCAGAGATAACCACTGCAAGTTTTGGTATTTCCGTGGATTTTTAAAAAAATCTTCACCCAAGTATATTTTTATTGATTTTAGGGAGAGAGGAAGGGAGGGAGGGAGAAAGAGAAAGAGAGAGAGAGAGAAACATTGATGTGAAAGAGAAACATTGATCGGTTCCATATGTGCCCCGACTGGGGATTGAACCTGCAACCTAGGCACGTGTCCTGACCGAGAATCAGCGTATGGGACAGCACACGAACCAACTGAGCCACGCCAGCCATGGCTTCTTTTGGACGTTTTTATATACACACATATAAGTGTATGTAATTTTGCCCTTAGCAAAATAGGCTCAAACCACACACATTGTTCTGAACTTGCTTTGCTCACTTACGGTCTTGTCCACATTATTCAGTGTCAGTGTATTCAGGCCTGTTAGTAGGGAGTATTTTGAGAAACCAGGGTGTGCTGCCTCCTTTTATTCAGGTGTGCTATGACATTAGTTTTTCAGACATACACTATGTGTTGCTTACTAATTATTAGAATATTTATGTGGGTTGGATTGAGAGGTGGACAATACTTAAGAGAAATCAATATTTCTGATGCAGAGCATTTTGCTGGTTTCTGCAGTTTCTGTATAGCAGTATATCAGCATGTGAGCCAAAGGAAAGAGTACATATGAGTGACTGCATCATAAAAGAAAAGGGAAATTGACTCAACAGCAGAGATAGGGAGTGACCTGAATTTTGCATTACTTGCAATATGTTAGATGGAGCCAATTTTTTTTTTTTTAATGATGGGTAGTGATCACAGTAAAATTTGTTACATTTCCTTTTGGTGATGCTAACTTGGTGCATTTGATATTTTTGTACAGGATCCAAGCTACTGGATACAGGTGCATCGACTAGAACATGGAGATGGAGGAATACTGGATCTTGACGATATCCTCTGTGATGTAGCAGATGATAAAGACAGAGTGAGTTCAAGTCCAGGGAAAGCTGTTCTGAGTGCCTATTGTGAAGACTGGGGAGGGAGTGGGTAGGTGGGAATACTTTCCTTCCTGTTTTAGACACACATACTTAAAGAATATTGGGGCCACTCACTCTGGTATGTTTGATTTATAGTAAGTATTGTGAATGTTCACTATCTTGAACCCTAAGGTATAACTTGAAACCTGGGACTCAGTGCTAAGTTTTAGAATTTTAAAATTGCAACTTTTTAAAATGGATATATCTTTAAAAGGTATTTTAATTTTTTCCATTTCTCCTTTTATTTTATCCAAACATAACATCTTTCCTGACAGCTCAGGCCTATCATTATGATCATTGTGTGTTTTGATGTGCGATATATAGGTTTCTGAGTTCTGATGTCCACTTTGGCTCATCCCAGCAGCTGGCTTGTGTGATGCACTAGCTGGCTACAAAACCAGTGTGCATCACTGGCATCTGTCTCCCTTTTCTGGGGCTCTCAGAAAGCCATCTTTTGCTACATGTTGCTTGGGTGCTTTCACTGGAATGCCATCTTCAATGCAGCCTGTTATTTTGGCATGGTGAATATGGCTGCCCACAGGCACTTCATTGTTTGCTTGTACCCACCCTTTTGTCTGCACTCTTTGAGGGAAGGAGGGTGAAGAGAGGGAGGAATAGTGACTCTCAACATTTTAAGAATCTGTGAGAGGATATTTGTCTCTGCATATAGAAGTTAGCAAATTCTTTGTTGTAATGAGGTGATGTGACCTGAGCAAGCTTTGGCCATACCCTCTTTTGTGTTGACTTGTAACAAAATTATAGAAAGGCTCCGCTGCATACACAGTTGTGTCATCATGGCCATGTAACAGCACAAGCTAGATTAAACTAGCGAGGGTATGTCCTGGGGTTGGGAGATGGTAAAATCGTCTGGGCCCTGGTCCTGCTGGGGAATTTTCTCTAATTACTGGCCCTTTGCCTCATCCTTTGTTCCCTCCTTAGCTTGACTGTGAGCTGGGCCAGCACAGCTGTGCTTGTTTACTTCTATGATAGCATAGTTCCTGCTTCAGAATTGGTAGGTGTCTGATAGGTTTTCTTGAAATCGTAAGAACAGTGAAAATTTTTCAGATAACAAATATTATATACATTGAGGGATATCTGATTTTCTTGTTGATACTATGGGCCAGGAAAACATTGTGTCAGAAATGCAGAACTTTTCTGCCCATTTATGATTTGCTGCTATTTCCCTGGGTGTCGTTTATCTGTTTTGGGATTTCCAGGGAGTCAGGAATAGGTGACTCTCAAATTGTTTTCCTGCATTCCACATGGACTTAAATTATAGTCAGTTTATTGTGTGGTTTAGCTCCAAAGCTTAAGGCAGCTACAGAGATTTATGGAGGTTTTAACAGGTGCCCTTCCCTAGACATACTATTAGTAAGAGACGAACTATTGTTACAGTGATCTTTCATTATTTTCCTCCGTCTTCCTTTTTTGTTAGTCTCCCTCCCTCCCTCCCTCCCTCCCTCCCTCCCTCCCTCCCTCCCTCCCTCCCTCCCTTCCTCCCTCCCTTTCCTTCCTTCCTCTCTTTTCTTTCCCCTCCCCTCTCCTTTCCTCTCCTCTCCTCTCTTCGCCTCCCCTTTCCTCCCCTCCCATTACTCATTCCTTTCTTGTTTTTTTTTTTCCCTTTCATTTTCTTTTCTTTTTTTATCACCACCCGAGGACATTTTTTTTTTTACCATTTTTTTGTTCAGATAGAGTGGGAGGGAGAGAGGGAGAGAGGGAGGGAGGGGGGGAGAGAGAGAGAGAGAGAGAGAAAGAAAGAAACATCGACGTGAAAGGGACACATCGAGTGGTGCCACCCACATGACCCAATCAGGGCCGGGGACAAACTGCAACTGAGGTACATGCCCTTAGCGGGAACCGAACCCAGGTCTCTTGGGACTGCAGGCCAACGCTCTAACCACTGAGCCACACCGGCCAGGGCGGATTTTTTTTCTTCTATGAAAAATATAGCTTCTTATGAGGAAAAAGAAACGTATAAAGAAGGAAATAATCACCTATAATCCCGTTGTTGCTCAGAGTTTATGACTCTTGGTATTTGAGTGGCCATTACATCCTGACCCTTCTTTTTCTTCTGATACAGACACATTCATACTTTTTTCTTTAAAGCAAAAGGATTGCTTTTTATCTTTAAGTTGATTATAAATATATTTCTATGTCCATTAACCATAGCATATAGAAGTCACCCAAATCTTTATTTGTATATGCTAACTTAGCTGCATGCATTTTGTTTTATGAATCTGTGTACTCTCTTACTGTACTTGTTTTGGTTCTCTGATTACTATGGAGACAGCTGAGGTGTGGTCTGTGCACTTTCATCACTGACATCTGCACTCTGAGCAGCAGTGATGAGCACTTGTTTCTTTCCATTCGTGTTTCCTTTTTTTTTTTTAAATCCTCACCCGAGGACATTTTTCCATTATTTTGTTGAGATAGAGGGAGGGAGGGAGGGAGGGAGAGAGAGAGAGAGATAGACAGACAGACATTGACGTGAAAGGGACACATCAAGTGGCTGCCACCTGCACAACGCAACCAGGGTCAGGGACAAACTGCAACATGCCCTTAGCGGGAACCGAACCCACGTCTCTCTGGACCGTGGGCCGACGCTCTAACCACTGAGCAAACCAGCCAGGACTGTGTTTCCTTTTTGATGGTGTACAAACGTAGGTTTCCCTCAAGTTGGTGCCATTTTGACTTTACATTTTGACTTTGTACCCTTCAATAGAGGGAATGAGAACCATTAGATTAGATTGCCTCTGAGTTAAGCCTAACTGCTGTATTATAGGTGTTGGGTGGTTATATGAGTAAAGTTGATGGGACTGTGACCAGTGCTTCTGAGAACACTGAGCTTAATGGACTCATTACATTCAGCACCATGCAGTAATATGTTGTAGGTTTATTAAGTATAGATTATGCTTTCTCACCCTTCTTCCCCGCACCCCCAGTCAACATTCACATGGTCTGCATGATGAGTAGGTGAAATACTGAGATGAAGATGTGCAACAGTATGATTATAAAAATCTTCTGAAATGTATTGAGCTTTATTTTATGCCCCACAAATGACATTTTTGTTGGATGTTCCATATATACTTGAAAATAATGTATATCCTACAAGTGTTGGATTCAGTGTTCTATAAAGATCAATTAGGCTAAGGTGTTTGCTATTCTTGTTAGCTATTGGGGTAGTTTGTTACTCAGTAACTGAAAATAATACACTCTTCTTTAACACAATTAACTATTAGATCAGACACAAAAACCAAGGATAAGGCAGACTGATCTTCTAAAACTGTTACATATTAAATTCTTAAGTTAGTTAATAAATTGTGTTTTAGATTTTGTATTCTTGTGCATATTTGATGATGAATATATTTTCTAGAATCTTATATTTCCTATATAAGTTTTAAAAAGCCTTTAACCAGAGAAAAATGTTTTAAATATTAATAAGCAAAGTATACATTTAGAAAATTTTGTATGATGCAGATTAAATTCAGTTTCCAAGTAGAGAAGTGCTAGAGTATAATGTACCACAGACTAAAATAGCCTTAAATCATTATTTTATTTCTCCAGAAATACTTAAAAATCTATATGATTAATTTATAAATTTTAAATGACCTTTCCATATTAAAGGGCTCATTTTATGTTGTAACTGTAAAAAATGTAATGAATAATCCAAAATTGCAACATCCAAATCCCACAGGTGTTGTCGGATACATTATTCAAATTGAGGGTTTGTTTGCGGTCTGTTGTATAGTTGTTTTCTGTGGCTGTGAAGTTTGATTGTGATCTAATCACCCTGTATTTTTTTAAATTACTTTTGACAGCCACTCTGAGTAAAGAGCTTGACTCCTGTTTTGCTTTTAGATAAAAAAAAGCATTACAGATCTTCTAAACAATAAAATTCCCCCCAAAATGTTCTGTTTTTGCCCTGGCAGTTTTGGCCAAGTGGGTTAAACCATTGGTTTATAGACTGGAGAGTCGCGGTTCAATTCTGATCAAGGGCATGTACCTGGGTTGCAGGTTCAATCCCCGACCCGGTTGGTGTCTTGCAGGAGGCAGCCAATAGATGTGTTTCTCTCATTTAGATGTTTCTCTCCCTCTCTTTCTCTCTCCCTTCCATTTTCTTGACAAAAAAAAAAAAATAATTTTCTTTTTAAAGTTCTGTTTTATAAAAAAACCCTTGGGCACTTGTTTAAAACTCAGATACCTAGCCTAGGGAAGTAGGATCTTTGTGTAACAGGCGTAGACATTGCATTTTATAATTCTCCAGGTGGCACTGAAGCTCACTAAACTTTGAAACTGTAGGTTCAGTGGCCCTGTCATCTATAATGTTTCTATAATGGGGAAAATTGTCTCAAAGGTGCAAATCTTATACTTGGTCACTGTGATTTTGTGAAATTATGAGAAATTATTTTTTATAGAGGGAAATTAGGATTAAGAGGCAATAATTCTAATGATACCAAAAGAAAATTGAAGTACTTAAACATAATTTTTGCTCATTACTCTTTAATTATTAGAATTCAAAGCACAGCACTGAGAATGTTTTCTTTTAGTGCCTATACAATCCCAATGACCAGGATTTACCCAAATTTGTTCAAAATGGTATGAGTGTGGGTTGTCTTGGCTTCTTGGAATAGGTTTAATTTTCTAAAATACAGAATGTTCTAGATCTACTTTGGGAATAAAAATGTGCTCTGTTTTGCTTGTCCCTTCTCCAATGTATAGGATAGTGATTAGAGTTAATAATACTGTATTATATGCTTAAAAGTTGCTAAGAGAGTACATGTTAAATTTTCTCACCATAAAAAAAAGAAATAGCTAATGTTGTAGTGGTAATCATTTTGCTGCAAATATGGCAGTGTGTCAAATCAACATGTATACCACCTTAAACTTACAGTCATGTGTCAATTATACATACACCTATATCTATCTATATCTATCTATCTATATTTAA